GAGAAAATGGTGGACTCAGTGTCATTATACCCTGCTGAGGTCGCCACAGCAAATTGACAATGAGTGTCCAAGGCCAGGGCACCCGCCCAGAGCTTCTTTCTAGAGGCCGTTGTATATGTTTCCACAACGGGCCTTTTTCCTAGTATACCATATAATCCTAAAGACACGTTGTTTCACAGAGGCTCTACTTCATGTTGTACCATGAAGTCAAGGCTGCTGGTCAGTATGAGCTACTTGTAAACAAGACCAACTAAGGGCCAAACTAAATGTTACAGCATCCACAGGTCCAACCCATGGATGTTGATGCCATTTTAGAGCTGAACTCGTCTATTTAGGAATGCTGCAAGGTCCTACTCACAGTGAGACCAGGCAATCTTGTCCTTCCCCACACCTTTTAAAGCACCAAAACAATAATACCTAGTTTAGCCCTATGATTAAAGCCAGTTTGATCTCAGACAACTTAAATTCACTGAGCTTAATCTAGCCAGGCTGTGAATATGAAAATACCTTTGTGAATTGTGAACAGGTGATTCCTGTGACTATTGACTGTGACATATGATAAAGCAGTTTGGAGATTGCTTCACCATAGTTTCAGCTTGCCATTCTATGCCTGATGTCAACAAACTATTGGAGGTTGTTCTATGGTCTAGCACAGTGGTCCCCAATGTACTACCTGCGGGTGCCAGGGTGCCTGCAGACATTTTACTGGCACCCACTGAGTGGTTTTAGAAAGTGGGTGGGGGCAGGTGGGGCTTTTGACCACTGGAGATTTGAGTAGCTGTGCAGATTTTTTAAAATGTTGCTTTGGCAGCAGCTGTCACCACACCACAAGGATCTCAATGTGTGGCTGAAGGTAAGCTGTGGCAGCCATTTTGTTCCTGACTTGGCCTCTTGCAGCGAACATTTTGTGGTGTGGCAGCAAATTTGTGGTTGTGCCCATCATGCTGTGTCAGAATTCCAAATTAGCCTGCAGGCTCAAAAAGGTTGGGGACCTCTGATCTAGCAAAAGTGAGTTGAGTTTCAAAGTGAGTGTTCGGGGAAGTAATTACCTGAGTTCTTCCGGTTCCCTATATTTATTTAATTTAAAATATTCATATACCTGCCTTTTTCCTGAACAGTTGAAGACTCAACAAATTTAAAATATATTAAAAACGTAACAAAAACCAGTCTAAAAGCACCTTATGCCCCACTAGCAGGATATTCCTCTTTTCTTAGGCTGTCCCCAAAGTTCTCTAGAATCACTCTGTTTTGCAGACTTTCTAGAAAGTCAGGACCTCCGACTGACTCTGGGAGTTAGCAATGGGCAGCTACTAAAAAGCGTGAGCCTGGACCGTTGAAGAATGTGCCTTCGCTAAAAGGACAACTGACAACGGATATTCAGGTACAGATGATGGACTTCAGCCCGCATATTCTCAAGACTGGTAACATGCTAATCAGTCAATGTGCTGGCCCAGAATGAAATAATAACCTGAAATTAGCTTTGTTTTTCAAACAAATAAACAAACCTGAGATTCATGTATGAAAAAATAGTGTGCAAAAATATTTGTTCTGTCATTGAACTATAATCCTGTAAGCAACATACCCTGTTTGTGCTTTTACTCACCTGTTTTCACAATAAAATCGTGCCAGAATATCTTTGACTTTTGTTTGATTGTTCAGCTGTATTGCCATAGAAACTTTTGAATGCAATGGAGCATGAACTCTTATGACCCCCTCAGGTATGTCAGACTGCAAAAAAATGGGAAGTGACTATTTGCTCAAGTCAGCACAGGTATAAAATCTATGTCATAGTATTTGTTTTACATCATTTTGAGATTATCAAATTAAAGCACAGAACAAGCTGTTTGCTGAAAAATTGTGATCATCTTTTCAAATTTACCATATTCCCCATAAAAGAACCCAACTTTTGAGATAAATTCCATTCTGTCAGCCTTCGTTATCTGTTGGTTAATTGAGGGTGAGGTCACAGAAAGTAATGACAGAAAGACAAAAGGGGAGGGAGGGAAATGAGAAAAAGTAAGCATGATTTCTCTCTCTAAGCATTTGAAGGGCTATCACTTAAAAGAGGGCAGGGAGCTGTTCCTGTTGGCAGCAGAGGATACAACTCGCAATAATCGGTTTAAATTAAGGGCGAGAAGGTACCGGTTGAATATCAGGAAAAAAGATTTCTCAATCGCCCCAACCCAGTTTACACCAGGCTCTGGGTGAAGTACGGGACATAATGTTATAAAATACAAAACACTAAACATTAAAATTTATATATAACATTAGTAAAAATTTCAGTATAGATAAAAAGATCCAGATGGCGATTTTCCTGTATTATTATGCGTCCCAATTCCAGACTACCAGTCCCTTTTTTTCTGGGTGGGGAGCTCAGAACATGGAGGGAAGAAGAAAGGGTGCCAGCCAATGGGTAACCATTGCTGGGTAACCTCAATTAAAAGCCTGGTGGAACAAACTCTGCGGAATTGGATAAGATCCCAGAGGACCCTCATTTGGCGGAGAGATCCACCATGTCAGGGCCGAACAGGTCCTGGTCCTGGTTGAGGACAGTTGGGCATTTCTAGGGCCAGGAATCACCAGCAAGTTGCTGTTTGAAGAGCGTAAAGCTCTCTTGGGGGCATACCGGAGGAGACGGTCCCATAGATATGTTGGTCCCAGGCTGCTCAAGGCCTTAAAGGTCAATACCAAAACCTTGAACCTGACGCAGTACTCCACCAGAAGCCAGTGTAGCTGGTGCAGCACTGGTTGTATATGTGCCATCCGTGACGTTCCCGTCAGGACTCATGCTGCTGCATTCTAGATCAGCTGGATTTTCCATGTCAGTCTTAAGGGTAGGCCAGCATAGTTACAGTAGACTAGTCTGGAGGTGACCGTTGCATGGATTACCATGGCTAGGTCAGGGCACGATAGGAAAGAAGCCCTAGGAAAGTTATACCGCTTTTCCTAGGAAGTTCCTAGGAAAGTTGTTGGGCTTGGTGGAGACTGAAAAATGCCAACCTAGTGATATGCGTGACCTGAGCCTCCATTGATAGGGAGGCATCCAGAGTCATGGCCAAGCTCCTAATGGATGGTGCCAGTGTCAATGGTGCCCTTTCCAGAGCTGGGAGTCTAGGCTCCAATCCTAAGGGCCCACCCCCCAGCCACAGAACCTCCATCTTCATCAGGTTCAGTTTCAGCCTGCTATTTATAAACTGTCCCACCACAGCCTCCAATCTTTCAGCTAGATTTTGTGGGGCAGTAGTCGGCTGTCTGTTCAATAACAGTTATAGCTGGATGTCATCAGTATATTGATGACATCCAAGTCCGAAACTCTTTGCCAGCTGGGCAAGGGGGCACATATAGATGTTAAATAACATTGGGGAGAGGAGTGCCCCCTGAGGAACCCCGTATAATAAGGGTCTCCTAGAGGAGACATCCTCACCCAGCGCCACCCTGTGTCCCTGACCATGGAGAAATGAAGAAAGCCATTGAACGGCCATCCCACAAACTCCTACACGGGCAAGGTGGTGAGTCAGAAGATCATAACTGCCTGTGTCAAACACTGCTGTGAGATCCAACAACAGCAGCAGTGCTGACCCGCCTTAATCCAGTTGTCTTTGGAGATTGTTTATCAGAGCGACCAACACAGTCTCCATCCCATGACCGGGGCGGAAGCTGGATTGGAATGGATCCAGTGCCGATGTGTCATCCAGGAAGCCCTGGAGCTGTTCAGCTACCGCTCTCCAGAGATGGTAAGTTGAAAACTGGGCAGTAATTCACTAAAAAAAAAAGCGGTACAACTCTTATGGAATCAGCTACCTAGAGAGTTGGTGGGCTCCCCCTCACTGGCAGCCTGTAAGCAACAGCTGGACAAACACTTGTGAGGGATGCTCTATGCTGATCCTGCATTCAGCAGGGGGTTGGATTAGATGGCCTGTATGCCCCCCTTCCAACTCTGTGATTCTATGATTCATGAGAGGTGGATAGAATGGAAGTAAGGATGCAGGAGGCTTATGTGCAGGAGCACTGCATAGAAAAGCAGGTGAAAAGAAGATAGAAGGAAGCAAGGATCTTAGGACTGACCCTATACTGAATGCCAGAGAATAATTCAATATAAAAAATCTCATTTCCAGTCCCAAACCAGCTAATACCACCCAGAGGAGAGAGAACAATGGAAGACGTACAGTGTATCTCCTCTTTTGTAGCTGCATAATTCAGAACATATGAAAGCAAACTTTTATGCTGAGTCCTCTAAAATTTAGCTCACTTATCCAAACCTCATTTCCTGCTAGTTTCTTATTCCATTTCCATGTCTGGTATTTTACTCTGCAGATATTTGTTGTAAGCACTTGAGCAACTTGTATTTCTGAAGTCTTTTTGGAACATTTGTATAATGGACCACTTGAGCAGACTATATGGATTTTTTGCGGGGGGGGGGGAATTGGTAGGAATTGAAGTTAGGGTTTTGTTGGAACAATGTTACATGCACACTATGGAATGGAGGGAGACTGGAGCTAGCTTTTGGAAGACACAAAAGCAAAGAGATTGTTGGTAGGAGGTTCTCCTATGTGAGAGGTGGGGGCTCAAGTAGATGGAAAGGAATTTTGTAGGGAAAGAAAATTTTTAAGTGGGTTAAGGAGTAAAAATGAGAGAAACAGTGTTTTGTCCTGGTTTCTCTTCAGCCCATGATGCTTTCAGAATGTCAAGCTTTCTGCTCACCAATGTAATTGCATCTGGTGGGAAACCATTATAAGAATCCATCTAATGACTTCTACTCATGCCTTCATAACCATATTACTATGTGTTCCATGTTGCTTTCGCCCCAAGCACTGTTGGGAGGCTTTATTTGTATCTTGAATGGGGGGAAAGATCAGAAGAGCATCTCTCCCTTATAATAATAACATTCTAAAATCGGCCCCTTTAGTGTTAGGCCGGAAGAACTGCCACTCAGAAGACACTGGCTGGGTTGACTGGCTGCTTTGTGCAGTCCCGCCCAGCGTTCCAAGGTCATTTGCATATGGAAGCTGATTGGACTTCACTCCATTCCACACCTCAAACTCCCCCCCCAAGCTGTTGCCAGTCTCCAGGTGACAGCTGGAGAGATCTTAAAGCTTTGGTGCTACTTCAAAGTTCCCCAGGAGCCCAAAACAGAGTAGTGTTTTGGAAAATCTTTAGGAATTGTTTGGTGCATTTACGATGGGGCTCCTGGGGAACTATTGTTGCCAATCTTGGCCCAGCAGCCATCAAACCATTCTCTTCAACCCCCTGCTGTGCAGCTGACTTTCCCCTAGGGTTGCCAATCTCCAGGTGGGACCTGGAGATCTCCCACTGTTACAATTGATCTCCAGATGACAGAGATCAGTTCCCCTGGAGAAAATGGATGCTTTGGAGGGTAGACCCTATGACATTATACCTGCTGAGTCCTTCCGCCCCCCTGCCCAATGCTGCCCTCTACAGAATCCACCCCCCAAACCTCCAGGTATTTCCCTCCTTAGAGCTGGCAACCCTACATTCCCCTCAGTGCCTGTTGGTAGGCAACTAAGCTTGGTCCTGTCACCTACTTTGGCCTTTGGGAGAAAACACATTGGGGCCAGTCCTGATAGGGTTGCCAACTCCAGATGGGAAATTCCTGGAGATTTGAGGGATGGAGCCTGAAGAGGGTGAGGTTTGAGGAGGGGTGGGACCTCAGACAGGTACACTGCCATAGACTCCACCCTCCAAACCAGTCAGTCCCACATAGGGAACCATTGTTGCCAATCTCCAGGTGAGGGCTGGAGAGCACTCAGAATTACAACTGCTCTGCAGAAGGGAGGGCAGAAGTCAGCTGAAGTCAAAGGGGCAGATAATGGTAGGTTGACGGTTAGCTGGGAAGGAGATGGGGTTGCCAACTACATGCTGACAAATTCCTGGGGATTTGACGGGTGGAGCCTGGAGAGGTGGGGTTTGCAGAGGGGTGGGACCTCAGACAGGTAGAATGCCATAGACTATACCCTCCAAACCAGCCACTTTGTCCTGGGTAACAATTGCTGCCAATCTCCAGGTGAGGGCTACAGATCACTCACAATTACAACTGCTCTTCAGGTAGCAGAGATCAGTTCCTCTGGAGAAAACAGTGGACTCTGTCATTATATCCTGCTGAGGTCACCACAGCAAATTGACACTGTTTGCCCAAAGCCAGAGCACTGCCCCAGAGCCTCTTTCTAGATCTCGTTGTATTGCTTTCACAACGGGCTTTACTGCTAGTTATATATAATTTCTGAATGTCCTTTCTCAACCCAATTCAAGGGGTTGGTTTTGGTCTTACAAATCCTTACACATGCTCCCCTATATCACATAACAATATTCTATATGTTTTTATTGTTGTGAGTTGCTTTAGACAAAGATTTTAAATGGAAAATCAATGTTTCATAATCTTCTTCTGTTCTAAATATACCTCTGTTCTTTCTGGCCGCTCCCTTTCCATAGTTTTTCTTCTCAGCAGCCTTCGCACACCCTTGTCAAACATCAGCTGCCTCTTAGTATTGTTCATTGCAGCCTCATTCATCTTCCTCACCTGAGAAATCAGAAAATTTGGAACCTAAATGGAAGGAAAAAAGAAGAGTCTGTATCAACAATACCTTCCTAAAAGCGTTTTCTCCCAGAATCCCTGACACAATCCTATTGTAGGTATTCCAAATTTACAACCTTGGAAACAGAGATCTTCTTTCCACTCCCAGAAAAGAAGGAATGCAGAATTTTGGCGGTGTTTTCTACACTACCCCATTAATAGTAATATTCATCCCTGCAACAAAAGCAGTAATACAGTTTTTAAACCTAATCACTTCTATTTTTGTTTGAATTTGATCCAGACCTTCCTCCAAGATCAGACAGCAGTTAACACACTTGGTTCCCTCACCACATTTTTAACCTAATAACAGCTGTCTTATCAGGGTTAGGCAAGGAGAGTGGGGCTGACCCAAGACCATCCTACTTAGCTTCATGGCAAAACAGAGATCTGAACCCAGGGCACAGTTTCATTGAGAAAGGTGACCAAAGCCATTGTAGCATTTTTTCCCTACCGTGAAAACTGCATATATATGCCAGTGAGACAAAAAAGTGCACTTCACAGAAAGCATCAAATTCCCAACAGTAACTAGGTGAAGCCACAATCCTTGTGATCTGGAGTGAGCTCAAATCTCTGTCACTGCATCTCCATGTTATGCAACATTCACCTATTTTTCTGGGTACCAGATGTTAAAGGAACAGGAGCCCTGCAATTAAAAAAAAAGATGATAACCCCCCTTAACTCAAATATTAACTATGGCCTCCACATACCATCCACAGGATATCCTGGTATTTAATTAAAAGTCTCACAATACGTGCTGTGGTGGCTGCTGCCAGCATCTCTTCTTGGTTTGCACGTTTGCCTTTGTAGACGAAGAGGTTTGGGGCAACAATCATGGAAACATTCCACAGAGTCATTTTGTTTTTCCCTTCATTTGTAACCACCTTCTTCAAGAACTGCAGAAGGACCTAGCAGAAAGAATACTACTCAGACTCAGAGCATGCAAAAGAATCCACACATGTCAAACAAACAGTTGCCAGGCGAGTTACTAGAACTTTAGGGTGCGTATAATCAGTGCTACACATGTACTTCAAAGCAATCTCCCTTATAAATAAAAGCGAAATGGTGGTGGCACTTCTCTAAAACATTCCACACGCTCCAAAATCAGTTCACTCTCTGATCTGTCATTCAGAGGGTCTCGCTATCCACTGGCTGCTTTGCCTGAGTCCTGCCTCCAACATTCTAAACATTTTGCTAATCCTCTCCCCCCCATAGCCAGTCAGAACACAGAGGTTATTTGCATATGCAGCCTCATTGGCCTCTGCCTCGGAACACAGAGGTCGTTTGCATATGCGACTTGATTGGCTTTTGCCTCTAACATTCTAAACAGTTTTGCTGTTCTGAGGTAAAATGTGTCCAATCTCCAGGTGAGGGCTGGAGATCACTCAGAATTACAACTGCTTTCCAGATGGCAGAGATCAGTTCCCCTGGAGAAAATGGTGGGCTCTGTATCCTTATATGCTGCTGAGGTGGCCCCCGTATGACAGCCAATGTGACATAGCAGTCAGGGCTTCAGAGCACGGGAGAGGCTGCAGGTGTGTGGGGGGTAGAAAGCTGAAGAGTGAGGGGGAAATAAAGGTAGGTTGATGATTGGCTGGGAAAGAGATAGGGTTACCAACTCCAGGTGGGAAATTTCTGGAGATATGAGGGATGGAGCCTGGAGAGG